TTTAGCATGAATCAGTCTGGACACTTAAACATGAGAATTGAAATGGGCCTGATCTATATATCCTATCACAACAACACTTAACCAAACAACGTAATATTTAAACTTTTTATAAAGGAACTTTCTAACTTAATAGGATTGTGTATATCTTAGTTTACTTAACTGGAGATACAATCATGTGATAAGAATACTGCAGCATTTGCCCCAAGCAGATGCTTTCTGTTTTCTGCTAGCTGACCAACATAAATTCCCATACTTATTTTGTCTCTAATTTTGTCTTTAAGAAATGGGGCTCTATAATTGTTCAGGCAATAATCTTTTCCCCCCCTATGTGTTTCTATGTGTGAACAAATCAGGCTCAATTCAACATGGGTGCCCACCCTAAGAATGAGCAGAAGCAAATGACTATCTATGAAATCATACATGAAGTATGATTTTCTTTTCCATACTTCCTCATTTTCTTAATTGAGTAAATTAAGAACTTTTAATTTAAACCTAATGAAAATACCATGCGATAACCAATTCTGGGGAAAGGACGCATGTTTAAAATACACCATCAAGAAGATGGGATCAGGGATTCGACCAGAAACGTCACGGCGAGACAGTCGGGGAAATAGCAGGCTCTGACGAACTCTGCAAAACCCTGGGCTGACAAGCAACTGCCAAGGGGTCTTCAGACTGGAACCATCTCGTAGGGATGGCGAAGGAGGAGAGGCACCTCGAGACCAAGAGGAACAGGCAAGTTCCTCGTAGGTCAGAGGAAATTATCCCCAACTCGGCAGCAGGGGCAGTGGCCATTGCGGCCGCCAAGAAGCTGGGGCAACCAGACCAAGTATTGAGCAGGAGTGGTGATTTGAATGGAGCTTTGATGCCAGGTGAGTGATTGCCAACTCATAGGCAGAAAAAAAAAAGAAAAAAGGAAAAGATCTTTGTTGAAAGTGCCCCAGTGGAGTAACAGCGGCTAATGGGTATGGGGTAAAGGAAGGAAGAAAATTAAAGTGGTAATTTAAAGTGACAAAACCTGAAAAGAAAACTGACTTTTGGATAAAAATATTTGGAGAACTTTAAAAAGCAGAAGAAATAAAACCCCACAAATGTGTAGAGGACTGGAAAGAAAGTAAGCAGTTCCTTTTTGAATGTTGGAGAAAAAATTGAAAGAGAAACTGAAAATTAAGCCCTGTAATAGAAGTTTAAGTCATAAAAGGGCCATAGTTGCCCACCCCTGAACTATTTTGTGGTGAAAGTAGAAATGATTAAGATGTTGTTTGAAGAGGTATAAATACATATGTTTGACAAAGTAATTGAAAATTAGAGATAAGAATCAAGGAAAGCAATTTGATTTATGATTACTATATATAGAGAAAAGATTGTTATATAACTAACTGATTTCTACTAAGATGATGGATTGTATCATTTGGAATAAGATTTAAGGAAATGTATGATATTAAAAAAAATTGGTTTATTATTCTTATAAGAAATGCATGATTGTAATACTACATACTTAATTGACTTTCATTAAGATGCTGGATTCTATTATATTGAAATAGTTGATAATTGAAAATACTAGTATTGTACTAAGGGAATATAAAGAAATATTAGGAATTATATTATGTAGTGAGATTTGAAATTGAAGGAGTTTAATATAGAGATGAAGGGAAAAACTGAATTTGGTTAAGATTAGAGGTTAAGATGAAGGGTAATATTGGTCTATTAAAAAAGCTAGAGAGAATAAATACTATGGCAAAAAGGGAATATGTAAATTGTGTTGAAATGATTAAAAATTGTTTAAATTTGTGAACTGGCCAACACTGTTCAGAAAAAATACATTGTATGTTTGTTTGTCTGTTTGTGTAAAAAATAAAAAAAACTTTTATATAAAAAAGAAGATGATGGGATCAGATGGGTGAATGCCATCCTCAAATTGTTATAAAGTTTTGGAGTCTTTTCAAGTAAGTAACAGACTGCTTCTACATTCTTATATGTGGGAGAAGAGCAGGCAGAGCTGGGCAGTAGAGTTAAATGTATCATCAGTTTAGAGTCCTTGGGCTGCCACAAAAGATCCAGGTCCACTCCTCCTTTTATTTTATTTTATTTTATTTTATTTTGAATTTGTATACCGCCCTTCTCCCTGAGGACTCAGGGCGGTGAACAGCCAAGTAAAAACATCAAGTACAAATATTAAAATACAGTTAATATATATATATATATATATAAATTTGGCCCCATTAATTAAAAACAATAAACAAAAAACACTTAAAAACACTTAAAAAATTAGGCCAGCCCGGCTTGCTGGAAAAGGAAGGTTTTAAGGGCACGGCGGAAGGCACTGAGGTCTTGGATTCTCCTTATCTCTGGAGGCAATTGATTCCAGAGGGTAGGTGCCCCCACAGAGAAGGCCCTCCCCCTGGGGGTCACCAGCCTGCCCTGTTTGGCTGATGGCACCCCGAGGAGGCCCTCTCTGTGGGAGCGCACGGGTCGATGGGAGGTCTTCGGTGGCAGCAGGCGGTCTCGAAGATAGCTAGGCCCTATGCCATGGAGCGCTTTAAAGGTGATAACCAACACCTTGAGTTCCATTGACCCTTATCTAATGCCAATTTAGTGCTGACCATTAGTTGACCCACTGGAGAAGAGCCTAATGCTGGGAACGATTGAGGGCAAAAAAAGAAGCGGGCGGCAGAGAATGAGGTGGTTGGATGGAGTCACTGAAGCAATCGGCGTGAGCTTAAACGGACTCTGGGGGATGGTAGAGGACAGGAAGGCCTGGAGGAATGTTGTCCATGGTGTCATGATGGGTTGGACACGACTTCACGACTAACAACAACAACATTAGTTGACCAGACTCTTGTGTATAGAATTAAATAAATCTTCTATGTTGCAACTTTATGAATGATCCTTATTGTTTGCACAAGGGGTGGTATTCACTTACCTTTGCTCCCGGTTCGCAAATGTGAGCATGTGCACTCGCTTGCTACGCTTGCGTGCCCCTCTTCCACACATGTGCAGAGCCTTCTGTGCATGCACAGAGGGTCAAAAACGGGACCCTCGCGTGATCCGGATAGAGCCGGCTGAATTTCACCACTGGTTTGCACTGAACATTATTTCAAATCTCTGGGGTTAAGAAAACCCTTAAAACAAATGGTTGCAGACACTTCTTAAAGAAAGAAGACTTTATTTGTAAATGAAGTGTCAGTTTCTTTCTTCTGAACACTAGTCCTTTGACGTTTTGCTGGAATAGACTTCACTACAGTTGTTAGGTCTTTGGATAAAATGTTATATGGAACAAGGCAAAAGAGTTGATCAGAAGTGAGGACCTCAAAATTAGTGGGTGGCCGAGCAATCACAAACCTGTTTTGGAGAAAAGTCACCAATAAAACAGAAATCAATTAAAAACAATAGCTGTATTGGTCATGAGAAAAAAAACCCAAATTTATAAAACAATACTTTTATTAGAGCAACTAACATACAAAATCACTGTATTCAAAGACCTGAATATTTACATCATACAGAAGGGAAAAAGTTAACAAAGAGAAATGTAATTCGTTTTACAGGATAACAATTTCTTAGATATTGGTTCCTCTCATTGACAAGTTAAATGGTACAGTATGTTGGGGAATAACAGATTTGATTTTTTTAAAATAAGATATTGATGATGAGAAGCTTTTATGGAATAATAATGCCATAGTTTTCAACAGCAACAATATTGGATTAGAAAATCAGCCAAAAATAGATAAGTACTAATCTTACATCGGTAAGATACATCGGTATCTTTGCTTAACTCATGTGGAAAAAACCTTGAAGGAATTTTAGGAGAAAATGTATCAGTATTTGGCAGGGCTATAAGGCATCTTGTGTTAATGCCATAAATCTCTGAGTTATTTCTGAATTGGAAATTGCCTTTGGTTAATGGAATAGTATAAGAATTCTTGCTCTCTGTGAAAAAGAAGGTTACAGATTCAGCCTCTGACTTATATTACTAAGAAAACTGTGGTGCTTCAACTCTAAGAGTGATGGATGCTAAAGTCCCAGTAGATCTGGAAGATACTACCTCAAGGAAGTCTCAGCCATGTAGGTCAGAGGTCTGATCCATTTTGTAGATAGCTATACCAGTGGTATACCAGATCTCAAGCTGTGGTCTGTGGACCGCAGGGGGTGCACAAAGCTTTGAAGAAATGCTATGATTTAAATCTTAAGTCTTTGTGGTCTATGGACATGGTCTGTAGCCAAAAAAAAAAAAAACATTTAAAGGGGGTCTGGTGTAAAGAAAAGGTTGAGAACCATGATCCATACCAGGGGTGTCAAATTCAAGGCCCGGGGCTGGATCTGGCCCATTGGGCCACCCTGGAAACAGTGAAGGACTGGCCTGCAGTACCTCTGCTAGTGAAAATGGAGCTCAGGAGAGACATACACGGTCCTCCTGAGCTCCATTTTAGCTGGCAGAGGGTTGCAGGAGGCCGTTGCAGCCGAAAATGGAGCTCAGGAGCCTGTTTTCACTGGCAGAGTGCTTGGGCTACCATAGGTGCCCATGACATGAGTGATGTCGAGCTGGCCATGCCCACCCTGGCCACTCCCACCTCTGCCCCCCAAAGTCAAACACAACCCTGATGTCTCCCTCAATAAAATCAAATTTGACACCCCTAAAATATACTGTTATATAGTCCACCATCTAGTAGCCAACTAGAGTGTCTCCAAGTAAAGATCACAATCAGGACATCAAGACAATAGTTTCCTCCTTCTGTTCCTCCTAAGCAAGAGACACTCATTTGGAGTCTTCCACATCATTGTCACAGTTAAAAGTCACTAAGACTCTGTGAATTTATCTCACTATCTTTTAAAACCAATTGAGCCAGCAGTCACCACTGCATCTCATGACAACATATATTAATTATAATTGCATAATTCACTACCGGTACTACAAGAAGCGCTGAATGAAATGGGTTTAAAAGAGGATTAAACAGAGAACAATAAATCTTATATGACAAAAAAAGCTCATTACTTCATTACTACTCCCAAATCCTGTCTTTTAATGATGATTTTTCATTGTATTATGAATCCCCAAAGCTACTTTTCAAAATACAAACTCCATATAGTTTCTGAAATATTATTGAACATGCCAATATTTTATTGCTGTGTATGCAGGTAGATAGCTAAACCTTTATGAGAAAATTTCAATTTTACTATACTTTCCTGATTTCATATGGATTGGGGTTAGGTTTCAGGCGATAGATACCAAAGCAAAGAATTCCATACATATCAAGGGCTTTAGTGAACACATCACCAAAGAAGAGCTGCAAAACAAGAAAACACTTTTCATTCTATATCAACCATCCTTGATTAACTGAAGACCCATAAACTAAAAGTAAAAGATCACAACTCAAAAAAAAGGTGCATTTCCCACATCACTTCTTGAGAAAATAGCAAGCTAAAAATTATTATCAACTATTTCCAGGTTTCTGTAGATATTTCCAATGTGGTATTTTCATTTAAAAAATAGATATTGTGAAGATATGATACATTATAAAATACACACTTTTTTGTTGGATTCATCAGTATGGTACTAAACAGAACTTACAACTGACCTAGGAAATTTTTGGGGAAAAGTCAGAAATAGAATTGGCAGTTTCTAGCAAATCTTTTATGCAAAGAATTCAAACATGGAATGCTTACTGTGCTTACTGTTTACTGTGTCCAAGTGCTCCTAATCATTAACCTTAATGGAAGCTTTGTCTATTGGCTACAGTATAATGTTCTAAAAGTGAATCTTGATTTCAATATTCTGTTTAGGATCAGCTTTGCAACATTCAAGCATGTCACCCAGAGCTTTCTAACTCATTAGACAATTATCCAAGAGAGCAAAATGGATTAGTTGAATTAAATCAGCTGGCATCTAACAAAACTTACCAGCAGCCCTTCTATTAACTGTGGATCATCTATTAATGTTAAAAGAGCCAGTTTACATCTGTTTCCAACTCCCAAGGAAATCACATTGCTATTATTGCCAACCAGTGAACTCCCCTCTGCCAAATATTCTTCAAGGTCTGGGCTGGTCCCACCTGTCACCAGCGTCTGAAGCAAAGCCAGCACATGGTAATTATGGTAGGTCTGCAATGAGAAATAATAGAAGATCAAAGAAAACATTTGTGTCAATCAGATAAGAGAAAGATTTTGCAAACTCAGTTCACCCAGAATTAAATGACCAGGCTGTAAACTTCACCTGATTGACCAATCCCTTTCATATTGATTTAACTGCAAAGAAATCTGCAGATATGCACTTTTTTAAAAAAAAAGACATGTATTAGCAAAATCAGGATGTGGACTTCTTGGGTCTAGTTGTGTCAGGCATGTAGAATCAGGACCTCATGTTAAGTTCCTGTTAAGCTGATTTATTGCTCATGCCTATACGGAAGAATTTAGTCAACTAATAGCATTAAATTGACACTAGATAAAAGTCAATGGAATTCAAGGACTTGGATTACTTGTGGGAACATAATGAGTCCAGACTGATTCCTCTCTTGACTCTCTTGACTCTGTTCCCTATCTTTGCCTCTCCTATTCCTATTGCTTTTTTTCCTATTGCCTTTTCCTACAAGTTGTCACTCAGCACATTGCAAACACTGTTGGAAGGCATTATATATGCCTAAGAGAGAAAGAGTCATATTTTCTAATCTTCGTTTTCTTCTTTATATGTTTTTCTGTTCTTCTAAGAAACTAAGAGCACCTCTCATTATGGTCACAGACTAGAATTAAAATATTAAAATAAAATAAAACAGAACAGAACAGAATAGAATAAGGACTAGGGGGTGATATGACAGCAGAGTGCCAACATCTAAGGGGCTGCCACAAAGAAGAGGAGATCAACCTGTTTTCCAAAGCACCTGAAGGCAGGACAAGAAACAATGGATGGAAACTAATCAAGGAGAGAACCTAGAACTAACGAAGAATTTCCTGACAATTGGAATCAGTGGAACAACTTGCCTCCAGAAGTTGTGTGTGATCCAACACGGTAGGTTTTTAAAGAGAGATTGGACAACCATTTGTCTGAAATGGTATAGGTTTCCTGCCTGAGCAGGGCGTTGGACTAGAAGACTGCCAAGGTCCCTTCCAATTATGTTATTTTGTTAAAACACAATAGTAGACTATAATTAGTGGTAAGATCATCAATGATCAGCCAATTTGCCTAATTTTATAGACAGTATAGCATAATTTAACTATATTCAAGGACCCTATATCATACTTATGTGATAGTAACAGCTGTACATAAAATATGAGAATTTCCTGGTATTGTACCAGGTCAGGAGTTATAAAATGGGTCCATGAATCCTTATAGAGGGTAGTTGAATATGAGCTGTGGTTTCAATGATGTCTTGTTCACAGAGGCACTATCTCAGGTCATATGGTACTGTTTTGTATTGGCCCTCCTGAATGTGTATCGAGAGAGCATTACAACATGTTAGAATTACTGATCTCCAAAATTTAAGAAGAGATATATAAGTATTTCACTCATTTATGAAGTGGGGGGAGCTTGACTACTCAAGAAAACATTCTTATTCTTAACAATAGTAATCTTGTAAGGTAAGCTGGTCTGTTACTGTGTTAAACTGACCCAGTGGCAAGTCAAGTAAGGCATTAAAACTGGGTTTCTTCTGTTCTTATCCAACTATACTGTTTTAAATAAGCCAGTATTTTGAAAGGGAAATCTTTATTGAATTTGTAGAATCAAATAATTCATTTGAACTGCTTCCTATCCTGCTGCTAAAAATAGTCCAGCTATGATCATATTCCAATTGTGATGAAAGCATTTTTTATCTATTTATCTATTTTATCTTTTTATTTAGCATACACAATAAGCCCAACTGAGTTGAATCTAGAAATCTCAGACCAGTTTTTAGATTATTAATACGAAAATAGAAGCAAGCTGGTGAGCAGTTTTGAGAACACAACACTGTTTAATTTGGATGAATGGGTAACTACAATTACTCCAGAAAGTTCATGTCAACTTTACTTTCCCACACCCCATTTTTATATTTTGTAAGTATGAATAAAAAAGCTGGAAACCTGATTGTTCTGAGATGTGCATATTATAATAAAGTTAAAGTTACTCAAAGCAAGTTATTTCTGATTTTTTTTGGATCTGACAGACTGTATTCCCCAAGTTTCCAGCAAACATATTTTGTGATTCTAGCTGTAGTTCTTGAACTGAAAGACCTTGTGCACTGAAATGAGTCCATAACACAATGAACATGTTGCATACATATTCACCTATTAAATGTGAAATGCAATACCTTAAACTATACAAATTCTTAGCCATGGCTTATGGGTTCTCTATGGTTAAGGGACTGCTATTTCAATTTAATACAAGACAGAGGAACTGAAGTTCCAAATTTTAGTTAGCGCTAGCAATGCTTTATGATTAATATAGATTTGGATGTCATATTTAGTCACAACTAAGAGCATATGAGATTGTGTTTGATACTTTATGTCAGGGTTGTCAAACTGGCAGCCCACAGGCCGGATGCATCACGTGCAAGCCATGCCCACCCAAGCTCCATGAAGGAAAAAAATCCCACGAAACGTCATGTGATGGCAATGCGACGCTGCAAGTTTGACACCTATGGTATATGCTTTTCAGGTTGATTAACCAGAGAAATTAAACATGTTGGACAATATACTGTATTTTTTGGAGTATAAGATACTCCGGAGTATAAGACGCACCTTAGTTTTGGGGGAGGAAAATAAATAAAAAAAATTCTGCCTCTTCCTACCAGCATCAATTGGTATTTATCTGGCTAGCGTTCTGTCAGTGTGTGAGACTGTTTGGAAACTGAAACAGTATTTGCTGTGTCAGCAACAAGGAAGGAGACAGCAAGGAGCCTGGGTGTGGCTTAGGTCAATTGTTCTAAAGCTGCATGCTGTTCAGATCTCTGAAACTAAAACTGTGCTTTTTTTTTAAAAAAAAAAATTGATTTATATGCCGCCCTTCTCCGGAGACTCAGGGCGGCTTACAATGCATTAAGCAATAGCCTTCATACTTTTGTATATTTTATACAAAGTCAGCTTATTGCCCCCACAAACTGGGTCCTCAATTTATCTACCTTAGAAAGGATGGAAGGCTGAGTCAACCTTGAGCCTGGTGAGATTCGAACTTACAGTATTTGCAGACAGCTGGTGTTAATCATAATGCTATCAGTCTGCTGAGCCACCAGGCCCTGTTTTGCTTGCTGCTGCAAACTCTGACAGTCCTTGCAGCAAATAGCCAGGTCAGCTTCAGCACATTATTGCAGCCTGAATCAGCATGAGCAGCTGTTTGGCGGGTGGATCAGCCTCCCGGAATTACCCCCAATCAGCTGTTCCAGGCTGCAGGGATTGCCATAGACCATTGCCGCCTCTGTGCCTCACATTTTTGGCTACATTTGGTGTATAAGACACACCCAAATTTTCACCCTATTTTAGGAAGGGGAGTGTGTCTTATACTCTGAAAAATACAGTACTAGTTTCATTACACAGTAACTGCAGATATCCAGAATAAGGTTTTGATTACTGTTCCAATCAAAGAGAAAAGTTAAGGATAGAGCAGACAATAAGTTTGCCTTCGTCTGTGAAGACATAGGCCATTTTGGTGTATAGTGCTCCATTATTCCAACAGCTGCATCAGCATTTTTAAAGATGGAATTATCCAGTATTATCCTGAGCACTAGGTCAGGTTTATCTTGCTCAAAAAGAATTGGCATTTTAAATACTTAGCTTTATAGGGCTGAGCTCTTTAATATTTCTTGGCTACATTTCTTTTTTTAACATCAAAAGGATTGTTGCATTCTCTGATTTGGAAAAAAAATAGAAGGATTTGTGTGTCACCTGTGTCCCTCTGTATTTTATTTTCTGAGTTAAATACATCATTGGAGTTTTCAGAATAAAAAGGAAGACAAGTAGATAGAGATCACTTTCTATCAGAATATTCCTGCAATTTATTTATTCAAAGTTCAATATAGGGTTCATAACTTGCAGCTGTACCAGAAGTTCAAAGTTGCTGCCACTGCTGATTATTATTTGGTAACCAAATGAGACAATTATAAAGCATATGACGATTAATCATCACTCAAATTAATTAAATTAGAATCATAGAATTATAGGGCTCGAAGGTCTTTAGAGGTCTTTAGTCCAACCCCCTGACCAAGACAGGAGACCTTATGTTATCCTGGACAAATGACCGTACAATGTTTTCTTGAAAACCTCCAGTGATGCAGCACCCACAACTCCAGGAGGCAAGCTGTTTACCTGATTAATTGTTCTCACTGTCAAGAAATTTCTACTTAGTTCTAGATTGGATTTCTGTGATAAGTTTCCATCATTTATTTTTTGTCCTGCCCTCAGGTGCTCTGAAGAATAGACTGAACCCCTCTTCTCTGTGACAGTCCCTCAAGTATTGGAAGGCAGCTATCAGGTTACCCCAATCCTAGTTCTCTTAATTAGGCTAGTTTAAATCAAATTTAATTTAATCAAATTCATTTTTGTCCTGCCTGCATACATTTTTTTTTTGCAAAGTGGTACATTACCTAAAAGTAAGTTGTAGCCCTGACCAAAAAGTTGGCATCATTGCATTAATATATTTTAAAAAGCACTTTATTAAAATGTCAAGAATTGCATTCTTACTTACAATCATATTATGTTGAGGAAGAGCTATTTACTAATTAAAACACTGTAAAATGGCCTTTGTACCAGTGTATCATCAACATTCTCTTTGAATTATGTTTTAGCAATGCTCAAGAACTCCAACATAAATAACCTATTTAAGTTACTGCTAGGTAGTATTTTACCAATAGATAGCCATCATTCTGAGAGTTTCTAAAAAATTACAATTGTTGCCATATGTAACTTTCCCTACATGCAACTATTTTGAATATTGTTTTGCTTTGTAAGGACCTAATTAGAATTTTTTGCATGCATCTCCCTTAAATATAATCATTTTTGTTTGAATGTTTTGAGCTGAGACATATTGAGAGAAAAATACTAGTGATTCTGTGATTTCATTTCTGTCTATTCCATGACAGAATTTTGGCAGCTGATGCCCTTTCTCCTGAAAAGATATTTAACAGATTTTATTTACA